CAATACCTACTGTAATCCCAATGAGGCCTGCAGTGGAGAGTCCACTTGTAGCTAATGAAAATATAATTTGAAATTATTTTAATGGACTTAGAGTTTATTTCCATGCATACTTGGTGGTACTGTAGTTACTGGTATCTGTGTTGTCCAGTTCCCTATTATAATGATAATTATTATTAGTAAGTAGGTTACTACATCATCTCACATTACCATTTATTATTTGAAGTAGGAGAGAGAAAATAAAGAAGAAAGTCCAATGAAATCTAAAGTACATCATTCTTGTAAGGCTTGTTAGTTACTGAAAAAAGACTGGACTTTACATGTTTTAATAATGAGTCACTTCCTGTTGAATATAAGCACAATAAGCAATTAATAATCTATATGTACTATGAATTAATTGTTATGTATCATTTAGTATTAAACTTTTTATCAACAGAGGAACTTAAATCCACCTTTCTGTCTGTTCCCCTCTCTCGTACCAATTAGTAAAGGTGTTTAACATTCAAACTGCAAGCACTACCACCAGCATCAAGAGTGTATAGGATACAGTGTAACCTTTCAAGAAGTGGTACTCATGAATAGGCCAGATTTTTTAAAAACTAAAAAAGTTCATAAAAACTTGCTACACAACAAAAAAGCATGTGAAAAATTATATTCTCTCCTTTTCAATTTTCAAAAAATTTGCTGTACAATAGATCTAGTACAATAGGACTTTAGCCCAGTTTCAGAGCAAATTAAAAAATTCATTAAAAATCTAATTTGAATTGGAATCAATTCAAACTCACTACACAACATAAGAACATGTATATGTATCAGAAAAAGTTATAAAAATAGAAAATTCTCTCCACTTTATTTTTTAGACTTCGGCCCAATTTGAGCCAGACCATTCCTAGCCTACAGTCAATGGGGTGGTTGGGGATTTATTTGGGGAATGGTCAGGATTGTGAGACTAGGAGCATGCATGTACTAGATAGTACAGATTAGATCTAGCACAGGGCATCAGGATCAGCTCAAACATACTACACTACATATTACATACTGTATAATGCTTTAATTTGGCGGAGTTTTATTTTGGCGATTTGCAAACAGGATCGCCAATATTAAAACCGCCAATCATTAATGCGCATGCTCAGTAATGCATGTGTACACAAAAATTGCCAAATTAAAAACTGCCAATTACAATTTTACAGCAAAATTGCCAAAATAAAGTGCTGCCAAAATAAAGCACTATGGTTATATGGTATAAAGCATAAAAACAGTGTTTTTTATAAGTATCATCACAGGTCTCTAGCCAGGGGGGGGGGTGATTGAAGTGACATGTTACCCCCCTTTTGAGTTACCGTAGGGCGCCTTTTTTCGAGGGCTATAGATTTCGTGGATTTTTATTTCGCGGATTTAATTTTCGCAAATTTATGCCATCTGCCATCATGTAGTATCTATGCTGCCATCTTGTACCGTATTAATTTGATTTTCGCGAAAGTAATTTTTGCGAATCTTTAAAAAATCGCGAAATCCGCGAAATTTATAGCATAGATGTTTATAGCCCTCGAAAAAAGGCGCCCTACGGTAGTACTTTTTTGTTTGCTTAAATCAAACATGTATTTTTGGTATTTCATGTGCATCCAGTCCTACTTGTCACACCCTGACAGGCTGACCCCCCATTTTATGTCACTCATACTTTATAACCCCCTTTTGTAACCCTGGCTATGGGCTTCCATTAATGTAATTTTCTACCTATAGATCTAGCTGGTGTCTGACAGGACTAACTTCTTCTCTTCGTTATCATGTAGACCTAAGTCTAACCTAGATCTACAATTAAAGTAAATGTGTGTTTGATTATTTCAAAACTACATGGAGGTACAACTTTAAATCTTGTATTTGGTAAAGTTGAAATAAAATTCACTTTAATGTGCATGTAACTGTACAATGTAGATTATACTGTTAATTTCACAAGCAGCCCATTTCTTGATTAATAACTACTGCCTTCAATTTTTCCATAAGCTAGATTATTGACTAATTCTCCTCCGCTGCCTTCTATTTCTCCATAAGCTGGATTACTGATTAATTCTCGTTTGCTACCTTTTACTTCTCCATAAACTGGATTGTTGATTAATTCCCTTCTGTTTCCTTCTATTTCTTCATAAACTGGATTACTATAAATCATTAAACTGTTAATCTGGTATGCTTCATTAGTTGCAGTAGATGCTTTCTGTTTTTGTAATGAGGTACCAGCCCCTGTTATTAATATTTAATAAATAAGTACATATGTGCACGCATACACACAACACACTATAAATACTTACTATGCAATTTCCTTTTGTAGATAATGGCAGAACAAACTGATACAGTGAGACACATCATTAACGATAATATGATGATACCCAATGATGTCAAAATAGCTATAACATACAAATGGTACATAATAATAGTCAATGCAACTAACCAACATTAACAATAAGACCTGCTGAAACAGGATGTGTATCTATTAAGTAACAATTCATAGTATGTAATAATTCATGGTATGTACAAATTCATAGCATGTACTAATTATTTATAGTATGTACTGTCAAGACATGCACATAACTCACCAAGTGGTAGTATAAATGGTTCAGTACTACCAGCACCATTACTGAATATAATAGTGATATTGCACTCTTGATACAGTGGCATTGATACAAATCCTGTTATAGCATTCATATGTTTCACTAGGTACATTACACTGTAATGAATATCAGTCTCATTACATATTACTGTAACTGTAAGGTGTTCAAGGTCTTCATTAGTACATTCCAGTATAATCTATAATTTAAAAAATTAACAATATGAATCAAGTATTTAGCATAATTGTGACTCTATATATTGGAATAGTGAACTGGACTATTGTCACATCTTCTGTAGAGAAAAGTATGTCAATGGACGTGTTTTCTGCAGTTGATTTTGGAACTACATGTAAGATTAAATGGCATTACAAAAGAGCTATTGTAATAGTGTGTGTCTACGTCTTAGGTATAAGAATGTATCATTATTAGATATTCCTTCTCCTAATTCATTAACTCCAGTTATAGCATATGTATAGCGATGACTAAATACATTATTATCGACAAACTGATAACTTGTATTATATACTGATATGGTATCCATTAAACTACCAGTAATATCATCAATTCATCATATATTCTTAGATAATAGTAAAGAATAGAAGTCCTATCATCATCTTCACATTGATTATTCCATGTGACAACAACAGTAGTACAATTATTTAATGATGATTGAATGTTCTGAACTGGATCCAATATACCTAAAACCACAATTACATGTGTAATAAGTATAAAAATTTACTTACTAAATGTGAAGATGGAATGTCGTTAAAGGTTCCTCCATGATTACTCAATACAATACTGATGACAAATGTACTTAAATTAAAATCCTCCAATATTATTAAGAAACCAATACCCACAGCTTGCTTTGGTATAGTGTTGTTCTAGTTCTTCTATACTAGAACTAAATAATTATTGTTCTGCTTAGTTCTAGTTCTAAAAACTAGAACTAGAACTAGAACTAATTTTTTTGTAGCTGAAATACTAGAACTCTATACTAGAACTAAAATTATTTATTTGAAGAACTAGAACTAATACTAGAACTAAAATTATTTATTTGAAGAACTAGAACTCTATACTAGAACTAAAATTATTTATTTGAAGTACTAGAACTAATACTAGAACTAAAATTATTTATTTGAAGAACTAGAACTCTATACTAGAACTAAAATTATTAATCCTGAAATACTAGAACTAATACTGGAACTACAATTATTGAACCTCCTTAGAACTAGAACTAATACTAGAATTGAAAATATTGGTTACAAACTACTACAATAAACAGGTGAACATGTTTTAGGCAAAGCCTAGCTGTTACACTTTTATATAAACTGTACCTGTGACATTTTGATCATTTTATTGGCAGCAGTAAAACTTATTATTTTGTGTATATTGCATTTGATGTACATTTGAAGCATAACTCAGCAATATAACAAAAAAG